GAATCACACCATCGTACTGTTCACTGCTGAAGATCCATGGGAAAAACAAAATATCAACTTCAAAATCAGTATGTGGTCAGAAATGCAGTGGATTCTTGAGCAATGTGGAAATAGAAAACATGCCCTCTGTGTGAGTAACAGGGAGGACAGCAGTCAAGTTGAAAAGCTTTTTGAGAAAATCGAGGCAATGGTCGCTGCAAATGGAGGCCGTCACTATCCCATTGATCGTGCTCATGGAAACGCTCTGAGGGAGGAAATGAAAGCAATAAGTGACAGAGCATCAAAGAGGTTTGATGAGGTGCAGACACACAGAAGGAAACTCAGAGCACTAATTGAAGGTGAGTCAAAGAGGTCCTGAAAAAAAAAATCACAATGAAGTTGAATTAAAGACTAATAAATCTCTAAAGTAAATTGCAGAAGAAAATGAGACATATTTCTCACTTTATTCACACACACATACAAGATATTTCATGTACCACCACATGAGACAAGGCAATGGATACCAGTTACTAGTTACAGTTACATTTAGATATTCATTAGAGATATTTGCTTTCTGAATGTAGGGACTCATGGTCTGTCGCTACTTTGTAACTTGAAAAAAGAAGTAATCCCTATAGAGATAAGGTCCGATCCATAGGTTCCACTTTCAGTTCCACTGAAACTTCCATGGCAGTTTGCCCATGTCTACTTGGGTCTTTTGAACTTGGAGAAAACATCTGACTTTGTTGCTCTCACTAGTTCTTGGCCTCCTTCCTTCTGCTTAGCATTCAATGCTGGATTTTGGGTGAAATCCTCCATGCATAGTAAGGAGCTTCCAAGTCTTGTTGTCAGTAGTTTTTATCTTTTTATTTGGCCAGCTTATTATCCCAATTGGATATCTAATCACTGGGACAGCGTAGGTACCAGATCTTGTTGGTACCTATTGCCCAGATCGTATTCTTTCCATTCAGCTCACTCCACAGGACTTGCCTTACTCTCACTAGGTATTTGGTGGTTGCAGCTTTCATGATTCCTATTTATCTTTGGAATTCCCGGGCACTTGTAGCTATCCTTAAGGTCTGTAATGCTGCTCTGATTATTTTTTTGGACTATTTTTCTTCTCTTTGTTACCATCTGACTACACTTCTCCAGTCCGAATGACATTCCGATGTCATTGCTGTAGATCCTAGTGGTATGGATCAGTATATGTCTCGTTCACTCTTGGCATACAGCTTGATGTCATCCACGTAGAGGAGGTGGCTAATAATTGCTCCATTCGGTATGTGTAGCAAGTCTTGTCAGCTATTTAACTGAGAGGATTCAGGACTATGACGAATGGGGACAGAGCATCTCCTTGGCACATCCCGCACTTGATGGAAACTTGTGCAGTTGGCTTGAAGTTGGTCTCTAGTGTTGTTCCCCACATCCCCATTGAATTTCTGATGAAGGCTCTGAGGGTCCTTTTAATCTTGGACAATTGTAGGCATTCCAAGATCCATGTATACGG